TCAATCCACAGGTCTGAGACTTGAACCTGAAGTGGGCCATGTGGGACCTTAACCACCTTGCAACCTGCTGGCCTTGTTTCTTTATTGCTTTAATTTGCTACCGGGCATGCGCACTTGCTGGAGACAGAGGGGGAGGGAGGGAGGGAGGGAGAGCACCCCGGGGATGATGCGCATGCCTCCGTCTCCTCACTCTCCAGTCAGGATTTTGAGCACGCACACACACACGTGCCTGGTGTGTTTTTCAAGCATCCAGGTCTGAACTCAAACCACACAGTCAGCTATTGTGGGACCCAGCGCCTTAGCCTCTATGCCACCCAGCTGGCTCTCATTCTACCTTTGAAATAAGGGTTTTAAATGAGATTATCCTGGGTTATCCAGATGGGCCAGGTGCCTTTTAAGAGACAGGCAGAGGGGGTCGGTCGGGCATAGTCAGGACGGACAGAGGCAGAGGTTGGAGTGATGGGCCACAAGCCGGCAAAGCTGGCAGACATGCAGCCGAGGGGGTGCAGCCTGCCGTGCCTTTTTTCACACCGTGAATTTCCGATTTCGGATTTCTGGCCTTCGATTCTGTGGTCATTGGCTGAAGTAACTGGATTAGCTGGGAAATTCCCTCCTGCCCTGATCGGGGAAGATGCTGGCGGTAGGAAATTCACTGTTAAGAAAATGTTCTTGAGAGAAGGCCAAGGCTGGGTGGGGAACTGTGGATGTGGGGAAGTGGTGACCCAACACAGGGGCCCCAGGTGTGGGGAGGAAGTGGCCTGAATCAGGGGAACCCGCAGGCTGGGAGGAGGTTGCATGGAGCAGGAGACCGAGTGTCAGGAGAGGGTGGCCCAGGACAGGGGCTCCAGGGATGTGGCCAGAGACCAGGAACCACGAGACTGCAGTCCCACAGGGCCAGGGCTGGGTGAGTGTGAGACCTAGCCCTGCTCTGGGGCTGGGCGCCTCCCCAGGCTCTCAGGGCACAGAGGAGACCCAGCCTTTCAGGAGGGTCAGTCCTGCCCTCACACACAAACCACTTTTTTTTTTTTTAAATTAATTATAGAGGGGTGCCAGCAGGTGGCCTGGTGGTTAAGGGTGCTT